TTGAATTGGGGTACATTCGGTATATTTCAAGCAAAAAACCCACTTTAATGCATTAAAAATAAACCCCTGGATTGCCCCTTCTCTAATCCACCGGCGTTTCCATGCATGCTAATCTCCACTTAGCCGTTGTGCCCCCCCCCCAGTCCCCCGCATACCTCCCTTATCCCAGGGAGAGGGTCCATAATGCAGCCAGAGAATTTATGGGGATGCAGCCCCCCCCCCAAATCTCACTTCAAATATGCACAGCCATTGCAGGTTTAATTAAATTTTCACAAAGAGGAATGGAGGAAAAAGAAAAAAAAAAGAATTGTGATTTTATAATCCTTTCCTGCCTGGCTGGTCGTTAAGTGACCAGTGCGGTCGCAAAGTGAGCACCTCAGTCGTTAAATGGACCGAGGGTTCTCTATGGGATGGTGTATCTTGGACAACCCCCCCCCCCCATTCGTCGACTCTTTGTTTGATCCTAGGCAAAGGCAGATATTTCTCTCTCTCTGGTCACAATGAGAATATAACTGCCGAACAAAACTCCTCATTGGCGACAGGGTAAGGCGTCCGGCCAGGAAAACACTCAGCTCTCCATTCAGTTGCCCAGTCTCCACCACACGCAAGGGATTATGGTCTCATTAAAAGAGGAGGAGGAGGAGGAGGAGCCTCACAGGGGAAAAAGCACAAAATTGCCGAGCTTTATTGTCACGTGGCAATCAACACAACGAGGAGGCCTTGCATTTTCGCATTTTACCCCACACAGACAGGCTCTTGTGTTGCTCTCGAAGAGTGTGTGTGTGTTTGTGTGTAATGAAATCAACCTACACAATTTTGGCGCCACGTTCTTCCCCCTTTGTACCCATGCCGAGAACACAATCCATTGTCCGTTCTTTTGTGTGTCTGTTTTGCCACACCGCAGACGAAAACGCACCGGGAGAACTGATCGAGGGGGGGGACAGAATTCCCTTCGCCTTTCGGAGGGGGTTGGACTACATCTCCCATCTTCCCCAGAGGGAGTCGCGCCCCTTTCCACTGTGCCCCCCCTTTGTGTGCAGACGTGTGTGAAAACGCTCGCCACCAATTAGAAGCAAAATAAGTTAAGAAAAGAGGGGGGGGATACAACGAAGCCCCCATTAAGTACATTAATTATATCCCCCCCCCAATTATATTAATTACCTGTCATTGGAGCGTTTTGAAGACTAGCCAGGATTATCTCAGGATAGGTAGTCGTTGACTTACAACCGTCACGGAACCCGCCTATTGCGGTCGTAAGTCCAGACGGTCATAACCCGGATCAGCCACCAGATTTTTACGAGTGCTTTTTTTTTTAACGGTAGTTGTTACTGTAAGTGACCTTGGCGGTCGTTCAACGAAGCAACGGTCGTCTGTGGGTTGTCTTTGCAAAAAACTAGGTGGCCAGTTTTCGGTCGTTAAACGAGTCACATGAATGGGTGATCTTGCAAATGGCTATAAACAGAGGCCGCTTTCCAGGAATGGGACTTGTGGTCATGTGGCCACGGGATGGGGTGGGGTGGGGTACGTCAGATCTTCGGAACTCGGTCGTAAGTAACCCCCCCCGCCCCTCCCCCCGCCGGGCGGAGGTCCGTGAACGGTCGCAAGTCAAGGATTAGCTGCATCCCTTAAATCCTCCTCAGTTGCCATTTACTTCCCCCTCCCCCCCCGCCTGATGTGGATGACAGCTAACTCCTCCAGTTACAACGGTTCGTTTAGCGACCGCCCAAAGGGAGCCCTTTTCACCCTTACGACCGCTGCCTTGGGCACGTGAATTCAGACGCTTGGCCAACTGGCATGTACTTACGACGGCGGCGGGGTCCCCCTTTGGCGACCTTCTGCCAAGCCAGGCCAAGGAGAGGTGGGAGAGGGGAGTCCAGATTCGCTTAACGGCCGCTGTCCCTGACTTAACCGCCGCGGCGATTCGCTTAACAACCGAAAGGTCGTTGAAATGGAGCAAAATGCACTTAAGTGTCCTGCGGAGCCACAGAAATTCGGGACTCCATTGTGGCCGTAAGCCGAGGCCCACCCCTGGGGGGGGGGGGGGGCTGTGTGTGGTTGAGCAGGGTGTCCGTCATAACTCTGAACTCTTGCTTAAGCGACCCGTCGTACATCGAGGACTTCTGAACGTAGGTGTTTCAGGCTGCAGCCAAGGCAGACGTCATGGCGGGTGG